TGACTATCTGTGTGGAGTTCTAGAATTAGATTTTTTTAACATGACGCATATGTTTGCTGACATCTCAGTCCCTACGATTATTTTTGTTAGATTAGAAAAACAATTACTGTTACGTTATTGGATTACACAGGATTAAAAACTAGGGAGAAAAATTTTTAAATTGGTGTAGAATTTAAATAAGATTATTGATTTTGAGGGCGATCATACAACCATCCTCTTCAGGAGCAAAAACAGGAGCAAACTAAATAAATAAATAAATTAAAAAATACAAAGGTAGGAAATGCAATTACCTAATTTATATGTTAATCAATAAGCGAAACAAAGCGAAAATAAAGTTGCGTCAGCTGACGAGGAAAATTATGATAACACATGAAAAAAGCTTTGATATTAAAATTTTGAAGTTCTCAGGAAGAATTAATTGAGTTAGAATTAATGTTATTAAATAAATAATATACATTTCTATGAATGACTTTAGGATATTCATTTCACTAATTGAAGAAAGAAGATAAAACTGAAGAAAGATAAAATGCTTAGCTTCTTTCATAGGTTAGCTCCTTTTTTAGTCATAAGGAAATTAAGTTTACAGATCATTCAAAGAAGGTACTTACTGGCTTTAATTCCTTAAATAGTACATCTAGATAGATACTTTTAATTACAGATTCTAATAAACTGAATACCATCGATGGGACTGTGGCTAAAACGTTGAAATTAATCGACATCTGGCTTCAAAGTCCAGTGAACGGAACGGCTACATTGGTGTTTTCGAAGTTTCTTCCTTGTGAAATATGAACAAGGTCTCTTTAGTGTGCCCACCATGAAGGCACCACTTCCCTTAAGCAAATATCTCTTCTGTTTCAAGATTTTTGAAACAAAATTTATTACTTTATATGATATTTTCTCTATCCTTATCATGTGCCTTCGTGGTGTAACATGACAGCATGTCCGGCTAGCAATCCCGACGTCTAGTGTTCGGATCCCGGCAAGGTAACTGCAGATTTTTTCATGTCCCCATATCGATATAGCCTAAAGATAATACTACCTTTTCATCGGTTTGAAATTTAAAAATGTAGTTTTTGCCTCAAAAATTTTCATTTAAGCAAAAAATCAGTTTCGAGAAATACGAAAAAAATGTTTTATATTAATAGGCTTAGTAATATTTAAACGTAATTTAGTTAGCTGTTTCAATAGAAAATCGATGCCTTCCATGTTTTTGATTTCAAACATGTTTGTTCACGTTGCACTGCACTTTAAATCTAGAGTGTTTTGAATTCCTTAAAAAACCTGATGTATAGTAAAAGTTTTATTACCCTATCCAAAGTTTTCTGAATATATATTTTCTCTTTTTAACGTCATTTCAAATTGAACTTCCTATTATTGTATTTGCGTTATTTCAATTGTTTCTGTTGATAGAAGTAATACAAAAAGATAAATCAGTGAAAGTCACACAAAAAAATGAAATCATTTGTGACACAAACCTCAATGTTCACTATTTCTAACAACTTTAATCAAACGTAGCATGTAATCTCACCGATCCGATTTCATAAGAAGGACACCTTCAGAGGTAGAGAGAAAACCGTGTGGAATCGTAGTGGTCAGCTTATGGATGTTTCATTGTATTTTTTATTTATTAAAATTAATTTTAGTAATATATTGACTTCCAATCAAATATTATATATCAAATATCATTAAGCACTATTAGTTTTACGAGAAATGTTTCATTCCTATGAGTACACTAAATATCCGTCTGGCCGTTTGATCTAGTTTACTCTTTTATCACTTAAATTATGCTTAATAATATTAGAATCATTGTAGTCAGGTAATTTATGTTACTTTTTATATATGTTACAAATAATTGCATAACGTGTGCAGTATTTAATACTTGAAAAAAGCGTTTCTATCTTGAGTTTAAAGAAAACAACTCTAAAATTGATTTCCAGCAAACCATATACCACATTAACTACATTATTGGCTAAGAGGAAGTTTCGAAGTTTGTTCTAAGATAACTGATTTGATTTGCGCTTTTTTGCATAAAATCATTTCACTTGATACATTTATTTATTTATTTAATAAATCCATAGTCTATCTGTTTAGTAAAGTTATTCTCAATGAGGATACTTTGCTGGAGCAATAGATATTGCTTTCTTAGTTCTTCGGCTGTAAGTGCATTTCTACGATAATCATTCGAGTCTTCAACCCATGGTAACAGAGCATCCAACATCGAGCCTCAGCATTAGTAGAGCAGCAATTTACATCGACTTTCCATGACATCATCTATCGGCAAACATCGCCATTTGCAACATAAAACATGTTTTTATCAACAACAGTTGGTTCTAATTACCAAATTCAGATGGCATCGGTGAACAACCAAGTTGAACAGTAATAACCCTTCACCGTAGGTATAGAGTCTGTGGAAAATCCGTGCGTTGTCTTCGAATTTGAGAGGCTCGCCGAAGGTAAATATTTTGGCGTCATTTTTGTCAACGAAGAGTACAGAATCCTTTTTCACTCCAGAATAAACTGTGACCGGAAATTTGGTAATTGGTTATACTCTAAGATTGTTTTTAGCCAGAATCGAATCACTTTGCTTCTCTTCAACGTCAGATGTTATCTGCTTCATTAGACGCTACGTCAACGCAAACAGTTCTCGATCTTTATTAAAAAATGTGAAATATATAATCTTGCCTAGAGTCAATAGTATGTCTGGTCATCAGATTTTATTTTACCTATTGTTAGTTGATACATAGTTATGCATTTTCCAACTATGTTTGCTTCTCTTCACGATCGGAAATACGAAATTCTTGAAATCGTGTGGCACTATTGCGTGTAGACAGCAATTAACGGGCGTACAGTATAAAACTGAATACCGTTTCAATGACTGTGGAGCAATACGTAATGATCACATTAATTGCATGATCTCTCAACGGCATTAAAATTTCAAATTTCCTCTATGCTGTGATGTACATCTTTTACAGTATATTAGAAAAAAACGATTTGAAAATTTCTTCCCGTTTTTGACTAAATCAGGATTTTAAATTAGCTGATATGCCACCGGAAAAAAAAATTTGCATATATATGCTTATGAAAGGCATAGTTAAAACCGTTAACCCACTCAAAAGACGATGAACTCGTAACTATATTGGCTGCAAATTTCGAAGTTTGGATGTCAATGATTTTTATTATAAAGAATTTCTTCACTTGCAAAACATAAAATATTTAGCTTACAGAAAAGTAAATTTAGTATTCTCATTTCCTAATTTCTGAATGTTTTATGACGTGGTGTTAAAAGATGCCATGTACAGTTTGCATCTGCGAACAGATATATCGCTATTTTAAGGTCTAAAGCTCGTTGATAAAACCAACGGAGAATATCTAGAAGTTGCATAATCTGTTAAATAAGGGAAAGAACTATCTTAAAAGAAAAACTTTGCCATAAAGATTTCAAAGGTACAAATATGAAAAGGTAATATTACCAATGCAAAGGAATTTTACAACTTGGCCATATTCCAGGCTGTTTTGTTTATATAAGTGTTTAAAATAACGAAATATGTCATTACATAATTACATTTTAGTTCCTTACTTTAGGTATTTTGTTACAATAGTAAAGAATTTGGATAATATTTTTTTTTTAAATAATGTACTCAAATGTGACAGACGATTCTTATTCATCCCTCTTCATTTTCTTAAGCAATTCTGGAGTAATTATTTATAAAAAAGTGCCGTATCTGCTTTTAGAAATATGGACCTTACTTAACTATTACCTAGGTATTACCTACGAAGAATTCATTTCTTTAAAAAAAATGCTTTTTATACAGTCAAAAGTCGTTAATCCGGACTCGTCGGGACTTCGGCGATTCCGGATTATTGATTTTTCCGGATTATAGATCATCAGTTTAAATCTGGAAAGATGGCATCCAGAAATTATAAAATTAAAAATATGAAACAGTAATTTATGAAATAAAGAACAATTATGATCTAAAGGGTATCAAAATTTACAAAAAAAAAAAAAAAAAAAAAAAAAAAAAAGCTTAATATTTATTTGTTTACTTTATTAAACATCTCTTTCAATGTAAGTTACTTAAGTTGCTTCGTTTTTTATGTGATAATACATTCTCTTTAATTCTATAAACAGACATAATTTCTTGTTCAGTTACAAAGTTCCGCTGTTTAAGTCCTATAATTGCTGTGTCGAGAATACCGACTAATTTGTCAGTCGAAATTTTTTCGTTTTCAATAACATCTGTTACTTTCTTCGCTATCGGAAGCGAATTATAATGACGAGGAATTTGATTTAAATCTTATCAAAGACGGAGTACATCGAGATGAAATACTACATTTAGTAAGGAATTATAAGACAAATAAAATAAAAACATCTGCCCTGAAGATAAGGATAGTGCTGACAGATCAACTTTCAATTCCTTGCGCGCCGCCGCGCTAAAGATAAACAAAGTTTAGATAAACAAACGTTAAAGTTTAGATAAACAGAGGATATGCCTTTACCCATTTTTTGCAGCAATTCCACTTTTCGTCTAATATGTAGACTTCGAAACAAACTTTCGCTCTGTAGATCCTTTACATATTAGTAAATATATATCAGAAATTCTATTTGACATAATCGAAAGTTCAAGCTTACTTTTATAAAATTGCTCTAACAGTCTGCAAAAAATAATAAGCCGAATCCATTTCGAAGATTAAGGAACAACGCAATCTGCAACATTAACTGAATTAGAAAATTTTAGCTTAGCTTATACCGTCCGTTATACATTAAACGCGCATTCATAAACGTATTTTGCGCACGCGCACACGCATATTCGCAGCCATAAAGGTCTTACGCGCATGTGTGAAATTGACGCATGCGCAGAAAGTTTGTAGCTTTGAGGTCCGGATTATAGATCATTCCGGATTATGGGTGTCCGAATTAACGACTTTTGACTGTATAATGAAACAAAAATTAGGATATCCAAGTTCTGTTATAAGCGATGCATGGTTTTAGAATTGTAGATAAAAATGCGTTTAAGAAATAGGTGCCCGAAACAGAACATATTTTTTACATAAAATGAAGTGTCAAAATGTTGGACTGCCTGTCGATCAACGCACAGCTCCTTCATGAGCACATATAGCTGTGGAGTTTTGATATGACGTCAAGTCAACGAGATGTTGAAATCATTGCGATGATACATCAAATGAGTAACATTACAGTTGTTCAAGACGGTATACTATTTATTGAGTACCACTAGTTATCACACGTTCATCCATAATCCAGTGACTATATTCTTTATCCCAGATGATTCGTATTGCCAGACATTATGATGTAAATTCTTGTCGCTGCATAACAACTATTTGCCACTGAATTGATTGAAGGTTTGAATGACGTCAAAATGAGTTCAAATGTGATTCGACGCAATGTGTGCATTCTTTGGGTCTGCTATTCTTTCCAGATACTAGCAGAATAACTGTTGTATTGCCTTGGATATTCAGAGATTTAATGTGCCATTGATGTTCGAATTGACATATGCTTGGTTTAATCTTCATCCTTAAAATAATAAAAAAAAAGAACATATTCTTCCTCCATCTATTCCTCTGTAAGCATTGGAACAGCAAAAAATCATGTACATAACCAGTAGCTGTTAAAAAATAAAGCACGATTGTCAAGGTTCGAATTTTTTTTTTTCGTCATTGCTCATATAGCTTCAATGAATTGCTTGACAGAAATAATACCAGAAATCTGAAGCAAAGCTGTATCTAATGGTTTGATATTTCCTTTTATTTAAAAAAAGGTTCCTTGTAGTAAATTCAAAAAGGAGCTCTATGATCTTGCTCCGTTTGGTTCATCCGAATACTAGATGAATTTCGAGAAATCCTGTTTCTGTTTTGCTGTGTTGTTAGATTTCTAATACTCTTGTGGTACAAATTTTTTCGTCTAGTTTAGAAACTAACGTTATCAAAGAACAGTGACTTTGAGTTCATCCAAGGATACTTGCCCATCAAGAGGCTTAGGACCAATCACCTCCGAAATGGAAGAGTTTTGTTCCGAATAAGGCCTTTGACCTTCTTGACACCGTAAAAGGCTAAAAAGAAAAAAAAGTGACAATTATGTTTGAGAATATATGTCAAATAGTTGTGGATATTAAGTAATTTATTGCAATCGTATAAAATTATTCAGACAGCACGAGTGTTTCTGTCTTTTGCTTATTGCTGTATAGAGAGATAAAATACATGGAAAGACATTTCAAATTTAAATATTTAAATTAAATAACCTAAAAAGTGAAAATGTTAAAAAGTGCTGAAGCGTTACAACGTTTTAATGTACATGGTCATTAGCTTTGTCGACGTAAGAAAACCAAAAATTCAGTGATGTCTCACTAGTACTTGAACATCGGTTCTCCCGTTTGCTAGACGCATGTGTTTCCACTTACACTATGAATGCGCGTGGTAAGGAATAAGGAATGTGAACTCTATTGTTCTCGTTGTTAGCTTTACCACGCATTAATATTTCTTACATTTTATTTTATATATCTCTTTATTTTATTTAAAATATGAAAATACATCCAGCCGTATGCAGGAAGATCGACATCACATTCCTTTACTAGCGCTTACTACTACTCACTCTAAGACTGTACTGGCGTAGTGCCAATCTGTTGGTGCATTATAACAGAAAGCAGAATGTCCCTTAAAAAATTATACATGAATAATTTAAAATCGTGAGGTAACCTAGGCTCATAAATCAAAACTGTCAAAGAAACATTTTAATCAATTGAATGTAACTATTGCATTTGCGTGACAGTTTTAAGCAATAAGTTCTAGTTCTCTCAAAATTCTGACTATTTCTTAATATATATTTTTTGAGAATGCCCAACTAAAAATGTTTAATTTTAGACTTAACTAAAAATATTCTGATAAAGAAGTAAATTATTTTTCCTCTTTAAGGGGGCTCATACATCTTAAACCACTCATGAACTTCCAATATGTGACTGTTGCAAGAATTGGGATAGATATTTTATTTATTTTAAAAGCAATTACTTCCAACCTTTTACAGCTGACTACATAATATAGTTGCTCTGGAAACTAGTAACCAGAAAGTTTGTGTTGCCACAAATATTTTTGTAATTTAATCCTCTTTGTGACAAAATATTTCGCCATGTTTCCACCTTGCGCGCATGATATTTTAAAAATGGCTAACGGTACATACTTGAAATTTAATGGAATTCTTTATATGGGCATTATTTTCTAACTGAACCAAAAATCTGATAAATATTTTAATATTGAAAAATTTTATGGACGAAAACATTACAAATTTTTTTTAATAAAATACATTTTATAAACTCAACTCCAAATAAAATAAAAATTTAACATGGAATTTTTAGAATTTTAGGTTCACAGTAGTTTCCAAATGTTATAAAAGCTATATATTAAATATGGAATTAAATTATGCAACAGAATATTTTAAACTGTGCGCGCAAGGTAGAAACATGACGAAAAATGTTGTCACAAAGCGGATTAAATTGTAAAAATAATTGTGGCAACACAAACGTTCTGATGACTATTTCAGAAAGTAGCTGTATTATGTAGTCAGCTGTAAAAAGTTGGAAGTAATTGCTTTCAAAATAAGTAAGTTATCCCAGTTCTTGCAACAGTCACGTATTCGAAGATCTTATGGGTTTAAGGTGCATGATTCCCCTTAATGCATTTATCTAAATTTACATAAACTGAAATCTATAGTTTCAAATATCTATACTAGTTAATTAAGACACAATAACACACCGACTAAATACTAATTCAGAAGTCAAACAACAAAAATCAGCGTTATATTTACAAAATTTTCACAGGACTACTTTCGATGGTTTTACCGAACCACCATCCTCAGCTGCAAAACCACAAATTCATTTGCGGTTCTGAATTAGTATCTGTACTAGTTATTAGAATTAGACGTAGTCTCTTATACTTTCTAATTAACAAATATAGAAGGTAAATTATTCATCCTATCAAACGACCATTATTTTCGCAACTGTTGATTATAGACGTACGCTTTCACTTGAAAATTTATTATGAATAAAGCCAGCATTTGTGTTTTAGTAGTTTTATATTAAGTAAGCCAGTTTTATAAAAACTACGAAACATAACTCTTTATATGGTCCCAGTACTATGTAGATACATTTAGTAAAAGCTTTATTCAAATATGAAACAGAAAACGTTTGACCCTTGTACCAAAACAATTTCCCAGATATTTAATTTTAAAATCTGAAATAATTTGTATTAAATATTTAGGGTTCTTACTGAATTAAGGAGCGAAATATTTAAATCTGAACCTAACTAAAAATGAAATAACTTGTTAGAAAAAAGGTCTCGAATGTTTGCAGATGAAATGCCGAGCATTCCTTCGAGGAATGAAGTAAAAAGTGCAGATCAATGTAAATCTTGTCACATATGGAATACCCAATCAGTGCTGCAGAATATACTAGAGGCCTTCAGTATAGGCATATCGAAAACTATTAACATTATCTGTACAAATTACAAAAATATTTCACATCACTGTTACGTTATGTTCCTAAAGTAATAAAACGTTTTTGTTAAATATTCAGTATTTCGAAATGTGTAATTACTCATGCGAAATCACTTTCGAAATTCTAAAACGCAACAAAATTATAAATTAATAGAATGCTACACAAGAATATCACAGAATGATAACAGCCAGTGGAGTCAATTTCAAACCGTACTAACTTGTTCTTTAATTAAGGAAAACCAAAATGAGAGCTGTGTGGCGATGCAAAAAGTACCATAAAATTATTTGAAATCAAATAATTCTGTCAATTATCATCATATGCTGATGCGTATTGTTTTATTTTACACACTGAAAAAAAATGAAATTTTAATAAATATTATAGCTATACGGGTGAGGAACCGATAAAAAGATAGGGTAAAGTTCACAATTTAAAAATGATATAATTTAAATGATGTATTATTTTCATTTGTAATCGAAAGTATATTTTTCGATAGTAGAGTAGAAATAAAGTGATGCGATATGATTTTGTCATAATTTAATGCCACACGGATGCTTTTGCACTTATTAAATTAAAAGAAGACTTAATCTTGTGATACACAGTTGTGAAATTTATCTTTCAATTGAGCTCCTGCGCAGAAGCTTTGCAGCAAATACTTTCCGCAAATGCAATGAAAAACATTGTTTTGTCAGGTCACGAAATTCGGTGAAAATGGAAGTAGCATTTTCTTTGCGATATTAATAGAATGCCCTTCAAGTTTAGAAATATGTTCTACGAACACCATATCGCAATACGCTTTATATTTTCAGTTTAATTCCCTCAAGCATGTCTCAGTTAATTAAAATATGTAGCATTTTACTACGTAATCATTATCTAACTGATACTGCACTAAAGAAAAACATATACAGATATAGTACATTTGTTACAGACACATTGTTACAGATATAGTACATTAATGTCTCATATATTGAAAACATTGCTACTTCATTTCTCGAAGTGCATTTTTAGCTTTATCAACCGAAGTACCATGCCTCAAATTATCAAGCTGAAAATAGAGAACCAAAGGCGGTGATAAAGGACTTTAGATAGAGTCTCGGCATCAGCCGAACCGAAATGAACAATGAACTTAGCAAGTGCCATCTATCGACAAATGTTCTACAAACAGCTTTAAAAACAATAGGTATTTGCTACCAAATATAGGTTGCGCAAACACTAGAGCCAGGACGCATGGTAACAAATCCTCCGCTATAGCAAAATGGAGTTTCAAAACGTGATAATATTCTCAGTAATCAAACGTGTTAATGGTTGAGAAATTAATTATATTAGAACTGCAATTATCAGAACCGACTTTTGTATATTCTAAGCGACGTTAAAAATAATATTGTTAATTTAATTTACGTGACTTTTTTTCCATTGATTTAAATAATTTTAAAAATAATATAACATAGTGTATATATTTCAGAAGTTATCTATTCAGTTTAGATGACCGAGTTGTAAATGTTCGATAAACAGCTAACCTGTAAACATTACTGGAAAATTAATTAGGTACTGCTTAATCTTATTTCTTCATTTAAGGCATTAAGTAATCAGAATGAAATTTCTTTACTTATTTGAAACAGAAAATGGCTTTTAGAAAAACGTAAAATAACTTCATCGTTTACTTATAAAAAAGGAATTTGAAATTAATTTTTAAAGAAAAGAAAGTGATTTATTTCTTTATGTATGTAATATTGGACAAGATAACATCCGATAAAAGGGAAAATAAAGTTTCTTTTTTGTATTAAAAATAAATACCAGTTTAGCATAGAGAAAAAGAAGCAATCTAGCTATATCCTTTAAAAAAATAGGGATTACGGAAAGATATGTTTAAACAGTACACTATAATTAAGGCAATGCTTTTACGCCAGAAACAAAAGGCAAAATTTCTCAGCCTTCGGCATCCTGGGATTTACATTAAACGTTTGGCTAAAAGTCTCATCGAGGAGGATTTAGATTCCCTTTCGCAAGGGAGGGTTGTTACTATCACATATGAAGCCATAACTCAGACAAGTAATGTGCAACTAAATTAGCATTATATTATATATTTTAATTGAAATTTACGATTAAAAGACAGCCATATTCTGGAAACGTATTCATCGCCATTATTTTAAATCAAGATCCCTTTTAAATTGGATGGTGCTTTTATATAATACTGGCAGCTTCGCTGCCAGCCTTCGTCTCGCTTTTAAATGTACCGGAAAAATGGCTAAAGGGAACACCAAACGTTTAATTTAAAAACTGTATAGAATTTTACTCTGCAGAAAAACTTCATAAAAAAGTTATTACGTATAACACAATTACAATGAAATATGCAATATTCTTTAATACAAATATTAATTATCCTAATAAATAAATTAACCAATTTCCCTTTGCAAAATCTTAAGAACTCAAATGGTATAAAGGAGGTTAAGAACTTTGTTTCCTAAAAAAATCACTCAAAACTTTTCAACATCTTAAAAACAGTGAAATGAGCAAAAAATAACATAAAAGAATACAAACAACAAAAAATTCTGAAAAGCAAAGAATAATTA